ACTACTGATGAGCTCTAATAAGAGCGAAACTCGAGTCTAGTGCTTCCGAGCACATGGTTGACTGGAAGAGCTAAGGAATGTGTGTGAGGATGAAGTTTGAAGGATGTGCAGTTCTAATCAACCAACATCAATCATCCTGCAACACTACTCACAAGTAATTATGAGTTCAACGAGAATTCTTGTATTACTTCATGCGAGAATTTCGCTCGTAAGATACTTAACGACTCCAGTCAGCCGCTCAATCCCGATCTATCTATCTATCTGCGTGCCGTTCCCACGCTATAACCCGATCCAATTATTGCTGCTTACCCTCCCGCATAAACATTTATAGCAATTACACGGTACCCTATCTGGCTCGTGTTTTACCTGGTAAGATGAAGATCCGAAACGAACTAATTTTATACCTATAAAGATGAACTTCCGTATAAGTTTTATTATTGCTGCAAATAACTTTTTCATATTTTTATCCCATTGTGAAGATGAACACATTTTTTGACTGAAGTATAGGCATAATTGTCCACTCAAGTTGTTACAATAAAATACAATTCAATAACTACTCTAACTAATGGCTCTGCGCATTTCTTCATACCTCGTCTCCACGTCATCTCCAAGATACCAAGTTGCCTTCTCCAGTCTGCAGCAGGCATTGCACGACATGACATGACATGAGCGAATCGTCATAATCAACACATAAAACTGAACGGTTTTATTATGTATGTCCTAGTTTTGTTAGTGTCCCTCCCCTCCCCGAAAATTACTTAACGGTGTGGGGACAATAAAGGAGAAAGGGTAACACATTTCAGAACGTACCATCAGATAGACCGACACACCGAATCCCACCACTGCCAGAACAGCGAGAGCCGCGACAAACTTGTAAGCATCCTGAGTGAATTTGAACTCAAGCGGTTTGGGGAATAGAATTGACCGAACTAGCTCGCCTTTGGCCGTACGAAATCCGGTACGCGCGACAACCGCGAGCACTCGTTCGTCCGCGTAATTTCTGGTCTGAATAATCGAGGTGCCACTAAAAAGCACGTGCCGAGCCATGGAATGAATGTTAATCACTTCTTCTGTATTCGATTGTTGAGGTACCGGAGTTTTGGTTACTGGAACACTCTCACCTGAGAACATTGGAATCAACAAAAGATGCAAAATGAAACGAAACGACGTCGGCCATTTCATCGAGACCAGCTTGGATTCAGTAACTAGAACCCAAAGAAATTTACCACAAACTGAACACAAAGCCGGATGAACTGATCAGATTGTCAATTCTAGCTTTCGCCGGTACAATAATTAACGACCACGTGACGAACAGGTTTCTTTTGGGGGTTCGTCTGCTGGCCATCTGCGGCACATTACATAACTCGGGGAACAATGAAAGGAGACGGGAAATCAGACTGTAAGGGAGCTACACCCAAAATCAGTTCTTGTTTGCCGACATAAACCAAAAGTGGTAAATGGCAATTATCATTGGAGAACTCTGTTAAATACAGTGGAGTCACCATAGATAGATAACAATCCCCAGGTGTAAAATCTTATCCTCAAATGCTTTGGTAAACTACAGCGCTTTTCATTCCCAATTTGAAATCTCAAAAAGAAAGGCACACAATCAGTTATCAGTCTGTGTCAGTGTGTCTGCCCAATCCTAATCGATTGTTCTCCGATTAATTTTCCTGGCCTAAGTAAATAGAATTTTAAATTTCTACAAAGTAGTTTAACGACTACTAGTTGCGTATCTACAATTTCCGTAAACGAGTTAATTGTGAAACTTTCAGACCAGGACACAACCACAACGTTGACACAAACAGCTCCCTTAACAGCAATTCCTTTAACTGATTTGAATGGTTATCCTAGAGAAAAAAGGATATAAAAATAGTAGTATTAATTCAAGAACAAAAGGTGTTTCAATGAACGAAATGCTACCCAGGTATCCGCAAACACCTACATTAGACAATCGGCCCCAAACCGACAGACAGATGGACGGAGAGACAGGTTTCAGGTAATTG